AAAGTAAACATCTAAATGCATACATTTTTTAACACACACACACACGCAAGTCTCTGAAATCATTGCAAATCACTACAAACCACATCAGATCTACAGTATATGGAAGCCAGTTTTCTGCAACTGAATGAATTTAAAAAGTTACAATTACCTTTTTTTTATTCAGTGGCGGAAGCAAGTTTCCATAGATCTACTATCACTCTCCAATGTTAAAAGGATCGTTCACCCAAAAATGAAAATTAGCCCATTACTACTCACCCTTGAGCCATCCTAGGTCTATATGACTTCCTTCTGTCAGACGAATCCAATCGGAGTTATATTAAAAACTGTCCTGACCCTTTCAAGCTTTATAATGGCAGTGGGCGGGTGTTTCTGTTCTACAGTCCATAACAAGTCCAATAAAGCGCATCCATCCATAATAAAAAGTGCCTCACATGGCTCCGGGGGGTGAATAAATACCTCCTGTAGCGAATCCATGCGTCTTTGTAAAAAAAAAAAACTATATTTAAAAGGTAATAATCACTTTTCTCTAGCTTGCGCTAAATGTTGTTCACGGAAGCCGTTCCGGGCGGAAGACGTTGGTTGTATTCACCCCCGGAGCCGTGTGAGGCACTTTTTATTATGGATGGATGCGCTTTATTGGACTTGTTTTGGACTGTTGAACAGAAACACCCGCCCACTGCCATTATAAAGCTTGAAAGGGTCAGGACAGTTTTTAATATAACTTCGATTGCATTTGTCTGAAAGAAGAAAGTCATATAGACCTAGGATGGCTTGAGGGTGAGTAAATAATGGGGTGAACTATCCCTTTAAAACAATCCATATTCAAATTATTAACTCCATATTTAAAACTCTAAAAGTCAACAACACTGAGATTATCCAAGGAACAGTTCACCCAAAACCGACCTCAGTATACTCATCCATATGCAGTTTTTAAATCTGTATTATTTTCTTTCTTCTATGGAAAAATGAATGTTGCTGCTGCTCTTTTACAAAAGCACATTATGAACATGCACGGTCAAGATAAAAAAGCACAAAAGCTCTGAAGTACCATAAAAGTAGCCCATATAAACAATTTCCATTTGTCTGGAAAACAGCAGCTTGAGAAAATTCTTCTTTTGTGATTCATGGACGAAGGAGTTAATGAGGGTGAGTTAATGATGACGGTGTTTTTATTTTGGGTGAGTTATTCCATTAAGCTAAATCCTCATGAAATTAGGTTTACTATTCTGAACTTGGTCAAATGAAAGCATGACTGAGCTTCAGTCCTTCACACAAACACACTCATCATGACGGAGGCTACTCATCTGTAATAGGAGTAATGAGGGTGCAATTAAATGAAAATGTGTTTAAATTTATATCAAATGCAGTTAGTTGAACTTTGCTTTTTCGACCCACTTAAATAGTAAATTAAAAAATAGTCATGAAAGTGTCTTTCACTTAACACTTTACACTTAAATGGCTTTTTATGACTTATGTTATCTGCAAGTATAGTTTTTTTTAACACTTTTAAGATTTGAAGTACACTACTGCACTTCTTTTTAACTAGGAACCTTTAATTCAAGCCTTTGTTAGGATATCCTGTAGTATTGCAACTAGATACCTATGCTTTCTGTATGTGAGTGTTTACCCATGCAAAACTCATCTTAGCAAGCAAGCAGCAATAATTGATTACAGTTACTATTGCTTTCTCAGTTTGCTAATGTAAGTGCAGGCTGAAGTCTCATAGGCACCTTTGATTGTGGATTAGTCAGTGAGTCCTTGCAGGCGACTGCAGCTGCAGTGACTGTGGTGAGTTTCTCCAGCAGAGGATTTGTCTGAGGGACGCTGGGAGGGTGAGTGGATTTCCAGTAGGCCTCCAGATAATCAGCCATGTGCTCACAGGCGTCTTCCAGCTGATTCTCATCAAGAATGATGTCGAAAAGCTCCTGGATAGAGAACAAACAAGCGTGTGAAGCACTTCCATTATATGACTGACAGACTGCAACGGTTTGAGTTAAAAATCTCAGTTTGTGTTCTACTGAAGAAACAAAGTCACCTACATCTTGGATGCCCTGGGGACAGTTCAGAAGCAGATAAACATCACATTTTCATTTTTGGGTGAACTATCCCTTTAAGGTAATCCTGCTTTTTTTTTTTTTTTTTAAATCATCTTGTCTCAGTTACAAATTTGACTGGTAAATGACTAAGAATGATAGCCCCTTTTGTATTGCATTGCATTGCATATCAGGGATGACAGATAGATAAAAAGACATGCTATTTATGACTGTATGTAACTTTTGATACTTTGCGGTAAAAGTGGCTCTCCGATTGACTGTGCCCTATGAGTGCGGCTCCCATGAAAAAAAAATAGTGAAGACCACTGGTGTAGCCTGAGGGTACTTGTCGCACAGTTTTTTTATTTTGTTAAGAGAAATATATTTCCTATTCCTTTTATAGATTTAATTTCTGTTTTTCTCCGCTGCAGGTGCGTGATGCAACGATGTGTCAATCCTCATGGTCTGTTGTTGCTATTTGCACATATAAAGAAAAATTATTCTAATCTTACTGGTTAACGATCGACTAATGAGCTTATTATCGACTAAATATCTTTTATTGTGTGAGAGATGCCTAGGAGATACTATAAGAAAACACGAAATTAGCATCTCCACATCCATTGTACATGACGTAACATACATGTAGTAGATGAAAAAATATCAAACTCAAATGCATTTCAATTGGATTTCAAACCACATATTACACACACACACACACACAAATATATAAACTATCCCAACGGAGGGTCGAGGAGGAAGAGAACCGCTTAAAGACTCACCTCCCCTCAAAGCGGTGCTTCAGAAAGTCAAACAGAGCTTTCTGCATCATATCTGTTACCTGTTTACACACAAAAAAAGAATCATGTCAGGGTGTGTTTTCACCATATTTTTCAATGTAAATCTAAATGCTTTACAATTAAGTGTAATTGTGAAGTAATAAGGAATCAAGACTGGGAACATGTTTAGTCAAAAATATAAGCACTCAAATGCTGTGCCTGCATAAAACCGAATTATTTATGGCATTTAAAGAGATAGTTTACCCGAAAATGAAAGTTCAGTCTTTACCAACTCATCTTTTTTGTCAGTCAGCATTTGCCATTAGTTCTTCAGAAGTTATAAACCAGTTAGATATTTAGCAAAATGTCCAGGTTTATAATTGCACAAACAATAATTGTATTGGTTAAACATGCACACGCAAACAAATGCAAATCTGAAGCTGTGTAACAGAGAAATGTCAGAAGGGAGACCCACACAGTGAAGTGGTTACTAAGTAGTGGCCATGCGATCATTCCTACTATGTTGTACATTTTTAAGCCTCCTCATGTCTAGGATAAAATATGAAATGTGCCATTTTTGAAGATCAGGGAAATCCAGTCCTGCTCCTAGAGGGCCAGCGTCCTTTAGCTACAACCCTTATTAAACACACCTGAACCAGCTAATCAAGGTCCTCAAGATTACTGGAAACTTCCAAGCAGGTAACTCCAAGAATGAGGCCCTACAGGAGCAGGACTGGACTCTCTTGTTAAAGATGGCAATCATAGTAGTTGCTTTTCTTAAAATGATTTAAATACAAGGTGTGAAATTAAAATTATATATATATATATATATGAACATTTTCACTACTTTGGTTTGAGTGGCTTTGGTTCATGATGGCAGTTTCCTAATGACACCATCCTCCAGAAGTGACACATTTGGTAGAAAAATACCAGCACAAACATCTCTAAACTGTTAAAAATAAAGGTTCTTTATTGGAAATGATGGTTCCATGAAGAATCCTAACCATCCATGGAATCTTTCCATTCCGCAAAAAGTTCTTTGCAATGGAAAAAGGTTCTTTAGATCTTTAAAATGGTCTTCACACAAAGAAAAACGTTTCTTTTAACAACTGTTCACTGAAAGGTTCTTCTAATTAGCTACAACCCTTATTAAACACACCTGAACCAGCTAATCAAGGTCCTCAAGATTACTGGAAACTTCCAAGCAGGTAACTCCAAGAATGAGGCCCTACAGGAGCAGGACTGGACTCTCTTGTTAAAGATGGCAATCATAGTAGTTGCTTTTCTTAAAATGATTTAAATACAAGGTGTGAAATTAAAATTATATATACATATATATATATATGAACATTTTCACTACTTTGGTTTGAGTGGCTTTGGTTCATGATGGCAGTTTCCTAATGACACCATCCTCCAGAAGTGACACATTTGGTAGAAAAATACCAGCACAAACATCTCTAAACTGTTAAAAATAAAGGTTCTTTATTGGAAATGATGGTTCCATGAAGAATCCTAACCATCCGTGGAATCTTTCCATTCCGCAAAAAGTTCTTTGCAATGGAAAAAGGTTCTTTAGATCTTTAAAATGGTCTTCACACAAAAAAAAACGTTTCTTTTAACAACTGTTCACTGAAAGGTTCTTCTAAAAATTTAAAGAGGCACAAAATCACTTTCACAGACTTCTACATTAACTGTTCCCTCCTGGTGGAATGACCTGCCCAACTCAATCCCAGCAATCCCAGAGTCCTTAATATTTTCAAGAATCGGCTAAAAACACATCTGTTCCATTTTTATTTGACCCTCTAACTCTAGCACTCTCTATTCTATTTTAATTCTACTTTATCTATCTTTTTTTATAAAAAGAAAAACTAACACTAACTTTCTATTTTTTCTATTCTATCTACTTGTTTTTCTTTGTGTGTGTGTGTGTGTGTGTGTATATAT